CTCCATGGGCTCAGAGATAGACAACACTCACCACACTTGGATGTTTGGTGTTGCTGTGTGCTGCTACTAGGGGATCTCATTACAGCTATTGCCTTCTTGTTTTCTATTCCTCCTTCCCTTAGCCCCTCTCCACATTGTCAGGCCTTCCACCTTTAATATGGGTACAGTGGGGCTGGGGTGGGGAAGATGTATGCTGCCAGAGCAAATAATACAGCTCTGTGCTTCCTAGATGCTTGGGCACTGAATTTGTCTGTCCTATGCCTCTGAACTGAATGTTTCCTAGACCAGCCCCTCAGAAATGCAATATACTCATGGTTTTAATTCTGCACCAAGGTATGCCCTTGGAGTTAGAGGCTGTTTAAGAGAAGCCAAGTTACAATAACCAGTAATTGGCCAACTTAGTTGCCGGCTGGAAGGGGAACATAATAAAAGGTTTTAATATCTTAATCAATGGACATTTTATATAGTCTTAGATGACCCATTGGGTATTCCCCACAAACAGAGGCCAGTTTGGGCATGTTTCAGACGTAGAGGTTTATTCTTTTTTCCTGTTGATTTTCCAAAGGAATTTATTTGGGCAGACCAGGGGACAGGGAGGCCCTGCAGCTAAAAGAAGGTGCTGGGCCTCTTGGTGGTGAAATGTGGCTGGTGCTAGCGACTAGATGCGGTGGGGCCAGGGGAACTTGATCTTGGAGTCGTGAAACTGCTTGACCTCCAGTGGGTGGCACTTGCTGGCCACGATCTCCTCCACCTTCAGGATCTGGATTGAGTGGGCGTGGGCAGGGTGCCAGGCCCCCACGTCTCCATAGCACTGGGTGGTCAGGTCCTGGTACTCCTGGTACATGTTGCAGGTGCCACTGTGGGAGTCGTAGCGCAGCCAGATGTCAAAGTTCTTCAGCCCAAGGGGACATTGCTCCAACACCTGGCCACAGTAGATGATTTCCCCTGAAGATTTCTTCATCTTCTTTAGTTTGAGACACAAAGTACCAGAAGCGGGACTTGGCAACAACATGGTTAGATGCCAAGAAGCGCATAGGGTGGAGGGGCAGCTGAGACCCTTGGAGGTAGGCAGGCAGCGCCCAAGGCCACTCCTAAAAGCTCGAGGTTTATTCTTGTAAACAACTAAACCAAAACACATTTCTCTTTGGCTGCAACGTAATTAGATAAATTCAACATTTATATTCAGACTAAGCCGCCTTAGCAAATTAGGAATAGGAAGAAGCATTCTTCACCAGGGAAAAGGCACACATGAAAATTTAAGTGTGCATCATACCAAACAGGGCAACGATAAAAGGATTTTTCTTAAAGATGCCTGCTATCACCACTCTACAATTCATTATTACACTGGAGGTCTTAATAGTTCAGTAGACAAGAAATGTAAAGCTATGAAGACCGAAAGGAAGAAACAAAACTGTCATTATCGTGAAATACAATAAAACCTCAGGGTAATCTAAGGATAAATTGTTCAATTAAGAAGACAGTTTAGCATGGCTCTGACCAATATATAAAAGTCACATTGGAAACAAACTACTCAAGGTAAACTTTTCATTGCAATGGACTCATGACAACAGAAATTGTGAACATTTTAAACATTTATCTGTTTGGCAAGAAGCAATGATTTAGTTGGATCATTGCTAATCCAAACAAATTTTGGCACTAAGATATCCAAGCTCTAGAACTATCATGATTCCATAATGGAGCAGGTCTCAGACCTTCCAGGCAAATGACCTCATGTTGAAATTACAACCTAAGTGCTGTAGAGATACGTGTGCAGTACCCACTTGTTCACCTGTTCTTAAGACATTCCCTATGGATTTACTATTTCCAGGAGACAAGACAGAGTAAGTTCCCACTTCTTCTCTCCACCCTCTGGGCTTCTGTGCCTTCTTCTTTAGGCATCCTACTTTGGCTGTTGGGTGTATTTTGCCTTGGTGGCAAGGCTGATGTAATGGATATCCAACCCTACAAAATAGCAATGTTTGTTCAATGGGAAAACAATCTGTGTGCAGGTCTGTATAGGACTGCTCTCAGCAACAACACTATGAGGAATTGAGGCTAACAGGATCTGTGCCACGAAAAACTTTCTCTCTCTCTCTCTCTCTGCCCCCCTCCCCTTCCTCTTGCTAAAATCAATTTTAAAAAATCAGGCTGGGAAAGAGAAGACAATTTGAGAAAAGGGAAATCAAGTAATTAGACAACTTTTTAGTAGGGACCTTAGAGTTCACTTCACTGGTGACAAAACAGTGACTAGAGATAGAGACTTCTTTGAGGTCTTACAGTAAAGCGCGCCACGGAAGGGCCAGAAGCTGGGACCCAGGTGGTTGATCAGAGATGCCAAGTCCAGTGCTCTTTATGCAGGACCCGATGCACATTCTGTGACAAAAAGGAAGGGACAGGTGAAGTGGCTGTGTTGCTTTCTCTTCTTTTTTCCTAGTAAAATATAAGACCCATACAATTCTAATTATTTCATCTGCTCCCTGGGGCTTCTACCCTACCCCCAACTCCCACCCCACTCCCCAGCCAGGAGCGACAAGTTCCTCCTTAATTCCACAACACCCGGTTCTAGCTTCCCCTGGACTACTTACCTCATTGCAGTATGATCAGTTGGGCTCACAACCTGTCTTCTGAGTTAGATGTGGGTCAAACACCAGAAGTTCTTCATCTCCAAGGTCCCAGCATCAAGCACAATGCCTGGTAAGAGTAAGTTCACCCTGGAACTCACATATAGAACCTCTCCATCATCGCTGGAAGTTCCATTGAACCCGCAGGGGTCTAGAGCAGTAATGAAGAGAAGGCTGAGAAGGCTCTGAGGACGAGGGAAGCAGTGATTTCTTCCAGGAGGTGGGTTCTGCCCCACCAGTGACGGCCATCCTACTTTCTCAAAGACAGGGGGAAGCTGGTTAGAGGCATCTCACATTCCCGTGGTGACTACCAATGTTTTATCCTAAATTAGGGAGCTCTTTTCCCTGAGCAGTGTCTCCTGTGTTTTTAGACTACGATTTACGTTTCCTTATTCCTTTTTTGCTCATAGTTGTGATTGGCTATCACTTTGATATTGAGCTGTGACAGTCATCATCATTTTCTTCTTACCGAAGATTTGAGCAGTAAATCATAGGTGCTTTAGTCTATACTTAAGTCGTTCTCATTTGAATGTTGAAGAGAGTATTTTTTAATTGATTTCAGAGAGGAAGGGAGAGAGATAGAAACATCATTGATGAGAGAGAATCATTGATTGGCTGCCTCCTACACGTCCCCTACTGGGGAGGATAAGCCCGCAACCCGGGCATATGCCCTTGGCCAGAATTGAACCTGGGACCCTTTAGTCTGCAGGCCAAGGCTCTATCCACTGAACCAAACCGGATAGGGCATAGAATCATAGTCATTTTATCACTGCAATTTATTAGAATAATTCATAAATTCAGTTATGGTTTGTCCTCACAAGCAGGGACATATAGAATTGGCACGCTTGGTAACTGTTTTCTTGAACTGTTGACCCAAATAAAATGTTCATAAACCTCATTTCTTAAGTATAACAGATGTGTAATTTCTGCCAATATTGGGTCATTAAGATTTACCAGAATTCAAGTACATTTTAGAATAAGTCAGTCCTTTGTGTGTGAGAAATACTGCAGCTAAATTATTGTATTCTTTTGAACCTATAAACATTTACTAGAGAAATATGAATGATGGAATTGTGCAAACCTTTGATATATTTAATTAGAATTTGGTTTGTTGGCTTTGTACCTAGTGCTCCTCTCAGCTAACATGGCAGATATCAACCTTGTAACTTCAAATTGCATAGGTTTACAGCAGCTCGCCAGTGTTTTGGGAGCGATGTTTGAAAATTATGACAAAAGAACAGAATGTTCAAGGGCGGGGGGGAAAAAAGGACACATATGTAATACCCTTTGTAATACTTTAAGCAATAAAAAAAAAGAATAGAATGTTATTGGTTATTGGTACTTTAAAGTACAGAGACCTGTTCAGTGGAGGGATGGAGAAAGAGACCTCTCACTGGAGCAGCTGGGAAATACATGGATTAGCATAATGGGTTATGCGTAATTAGTATAATGAATGGCTGGCATGCGCTGTACTTACTAGGTCTTTGTCTCTTCATGCCTCAGAGCCCCAAACCCATGGAGGACAACTGGGCTTTAAAAGTAACTCCTAAAAGCAACTCGAAGAATCCTATGTGTCTTCTTATGATCTTTCCTGTGTGTGTGTCCTACTCTGTTCCTCTAGGGCCCACCCCAATGACCACATTTAACCATATTCACCTCTTTAAAGGCCCTCTCTCCAAATATAGTCACATACAAATACTGTATGGTTAGGACATCAACACATGCATTTTGAGGGGACACAATCCAACCCTTTAAGTATCTAACACATTTAATAATTAGCCTGCCAACAACTATACATTACTAGGGACCATTACTAAAAATAAAGGTGGTGGGGAGGGATACAACTTGTACACATATACTCATTGACAATTACTCTCAGGTAGAATTTTTTTTCTAAAAAAAATGGTGATTTATTTTGCTTTAACATACAATGGTAAATATGCTGGGATCATCAAGTTTTCAAAAAATTTTGCTGGGCATACTTCACACATTACAATTCTATGTGAGTTCATTGGTTCTTCCATTTCAATGTACAAGAGGGATCCACCTGACACCTACTAGCAGCTTGGCTAAGAATGGACATTAGAATCAGACAATACATCGTAAATAGAAAGTACTTTTCTCCAAACGTGTATAAAAGTGTGGAAACAAAATCACTGCCTGCTCCACAGGACAGACAAACTGAATTTTAAAATGCTCCCAACTAGGAATCACGTGACCCTGTGTCACAATACTTACAAAACAGTTTCACAATATCTCACCAACAACTTGTGCACTTGAGATTTAAAAAAAAAAAAAATCTGAAGGAAAAGAAAAATAGTAGCCAAGGAACTGCACAACCAAAAAAAATGAAAATTATATAAAATATTTCCACCGCTATGTAAATGTCAAATTTAATCAAGCAATAGTAAAACAAAAAACAAAAAACCAAAAAAACAAAAAAACACACAAGACAACATAATAATACAACCTTCTGTTTAAAATAACAGCACTGCTCCGCCTCTTTTTTTCCACTGAATTTTACATATGAACAGACTATATATACGGGTTTTTCAGAGAAATGTCCATTTGGTCTGTTGCACCGGTCAGGCTCACACCAAATCCTTTCCTTGTCTTCTGAGGATACATGACACCACGTTGCTCCTGTGTTTCCAACACTCTGGGTGAGGTGCAATGTCTCAAGTATAATACATTTCTCTCTTTTCCTTTACACAGTGCAGAGTATACGGGCTTAGGTTATGTAGATTTTCTGTTACTCCAGGTCACTGTCCTTGTCTAGATTCAAGGCGGTATTCAACGGGGTGCAGTAGTTGGGCTTGTCAGAAGGCACGTAGCCGGGCAGACACAAGCACTTGTAGGAGCCTTCCGTGTTGATGCACTTGGCGTTCTTGCAGAGAGACATCCGGTTGTTCAACTCGTCACATTCATTCACGTCTGCAAGAAGCCAAACCACACAGGTGAGCCAGCTCGGAGGTGCTCTGCGAGGACACGGAACCCACAGCCTACCGAGGCACCGAGGCGACTGGCCTGCACAGAGCCTGGCTCTTCTCCTTCCCTTCCCCCACTCTGAAACGTTCCCATTCATGACAGTTTCCATCCCGTGAACGGTAAGGCAGACTTTCTAGATCTTATAAAGGTAGATTATCGGGGGAATGCTAGAATTTCTTTCCCTGTTATTTCACACAACACGAACAATTTGTTAGCCTGACATTTTTACAGTCCAACCTCAAGCAAGCTGGAAATACTACCCCACTTGTGAATTCTTTTCCGCAGGTAGAGAACAGACAGATGTGTCAAGAGGAACACAGTTAAGAGCAAACCAGTGAGCCGACAGCCTTCTGAGCGGCCCCTCCTCGGGCTGACGTTACTTCTCGGGTTTCTTCCCATCAGAAAGAAAGGCTCTTATGCACTTGCAACTCCTGTACTAACCCAGGTTCCCTACTTTCCAGACCCACCACAGATGGAGACTCGCCAACAGGGAAGGGGACACTATAGGAGGGAGAAGAACTGCAAAAAACAGAAGAAAACTTTAAGCCCAGGGCTATTTAGAATAGAGGCCACAGGGCCCTGGAACACAGTCTGGGCATTCATTCGAGGTCACACGGAGCAGGATAAGTGTGAGTTTACTGCTCTTTTAAAAAGAAGACGGGAGGCAACGACAGCATGTTAGGAGGCACTTTTTCCAAATGATTACCACCGAAGTTGTACTTTTTCAGACATCTACATTCCCTTATGCTTGGGCCAAGCATTCAGGGGAAACGTTACTGGCTGCACAGTCAAAAGCTACATGTAAGAGTCAAAGTCAAGGAATGGCTCTATGTGAGGAATTCTACAGGAATTCTTACATGAGATACCAACTCTATTTTTTGAAATATGTTTTCACTGATTTCAGAGAGGAAGGGAGAGGGAGACAGAAACATCAATGAGAGAGAAACATCAATCGGCTGCCTCCTGCATGCCCCACACTGGGGATCTAGCTCGCATCCCCAGGCATGTGTCCTGACCGGGATTCGAACCCTGACCTCCTGGTTCATAGGTCGATGATGCTCAACAACTGAGCAAGCTGTCCGGGCTCATCTCAATTTTTTAAAAATGGTGGTAGAATATACGGAACATCAATATGGCCTTTTTAACCATTTTTAAGTGGCCAGTCCAGTAGCATTAAGTATATTCGTGTTGTTGTGCAACCATCACCACCTTCCATCTTTAAAACGTTTCTCATTTTCCTAAACCGAAACTCTGCAAATCTGTCTTAAATGTACTTGAGGGTATGCGATCTGACCACAGGGGATCTCAGGAAAAGAACTGTTTCCCACAAGACACCGTTCTTACCGACACAGGTCATCTTGGCCATGTCCAAGTGATACCCATCGAAGCAATCGCAGGTGTAACCTTCCTGCACCCTCACACAGCGGCCGTTTTCACAGCCATTGAGGATGCCGCACTCCTCAGCCTGAAGCTCCTCAAAGCTGTTTAAAAAACCTGGAAACGAGAGGGCAGACGCCGAGTTAGAAAGGTTCACCCTCTTAAACCGCTTCTAAAAACTATATGGTTATGCTTACGGTTCACCAGATAGACATATTTCAGATGCTTTAAAGCTAGCATTAAAATGTAAGTGAACACTGCATATAACTGCAACAGAAGAGGAAGCATGGAATATTAAAAAACTTGAGATATTTTGCATAGATCTTGTATAGCCCCACATCTTGAATTCTGATGCTCCAGCAAGTATGATTTTTGGGTTTGCCCTTAATTATTTAAAGTTTTTACCTAAAATTCCAAATTCCCTGAGTTCTCACTAGCAAATGTCAGGACATCTTTCAGCGTGGAACCAACAGTGAAGTTATCGGCGTTCAGGAGACATTTGCTTAGAACACCCATGAGAGTTGGAGGGGTGCTTCTTCTGGAGAGGGAGGGCCAGGCCCCCCGCCCTGCCGGCTCTGTTTGTTTGCTCTGGCTTTGGAATGAGCCCGACAAAAGGGCTCTTGCGGATCAAAGGACAAAGGCAGTAAAAGGGACTCAAAACATCCTGATAAATGAGAAAAGAACATGGCGCCTATGTCTAGTAAACCCAAAGTCTTTTTGTACTGAAACAAAGACGCTCTTGTTGAGGTCAGATAGCTTTAAACGGACTCGGCTGCAGTGTAATAATACAGAGACAATCTACCCAGGCAGCAACAGGGCTTAGCTTTCTTTCTAGCGAAGGAAGTTGTAAATATAAAAGACTCAAGCACACTGTGGATGCGGCCCCTCATCCCTTCCCCACCTTCTGGACCTCGCCAAGTATTAGCTTTAAGAAAAATCAAAATGAGGAGCTGGGGGGGCTGGGTTTTGTGACAAAGGGGAAGGGATTAAGCAGAAAAATGGGTAGTTACAGAGATGTAGATGACAGCATAGGGAATATAGGCAATAACATGGTGATAATTAGGTAGGGGGCCAGAGGGGTACTTGAAGCAGCAGGGGGGAACGTTCTATAAAGTGCATGATTTTAGAACCACTTTGCTGTACATTTGAAACTAATACGGAATAATATTGAATGTAAACTGTAGTTGAAAAAAAAATGTAAGAAAAAAAAATGTGGTCAAAACTGCTAGGCCTTTGAAGTATGTAATTCTCCAGTGGAACTGCAGGGGGCAGCAACATATCATCGCTTACACAGGACTCTATCTAACTTGGTGACGTAAAAAATGTAGTAATATATCCAGGACAGGCTCTTTTCACAAAATTTTAAAGGAAAAAAATATTACAGGCATCGGGAACACGTCAGCAGATGCCCCCTAGCTAGTTTGAGAAATACTAGCTTAAGAAAATAAAGTCAACTTCCAGGTATTGCAGCAAAATCATTTTGACTTTAAAACTAGTCAAATCATTTTTTATTCTATAAATTAAAACATGAAATTAAATTTGAAGCTCCCATACAGATATATCAAGTAGACTTCCCAAAATACTTCCATGGGACTCTAAGGCGGGGTGAGCACAGTGCCGTCCCTGCTGCCTATTTTATAAATAAAGTTTTACTGAACACAGCCACTCCTACTCACTGATGTACATCTTGCTGCTTTCATGAGAACACAGCAGAGTTGAGTAGCTGCAACGGAGAGGTTGTGGCTGCAAAGCCTAAACATGTCACTATCTGGTCCTTATAAGAAAAAGTTGATTTCTGCTCTAGGAGATCACAGCTTTATAGCTATTGCTCTAATTAAAGGCACCACCAGCCATCAGTAGCATTTGCAAATAACTAGAAAACAGGAGATGGCGAATCATAAAGGTGATAAGAATCCTTAGCCTCCCCTCTATGTTACCATCTACCCAATACCATCATTTCTCCAGCAGGGCCAGCGAGCCTTGCTCCTGGTCTGAGACGGAGGGGCTATTTCTTGTAATTTGTTCAAAATTTAAAGGCCATTTTGTAGTCAAAGCTGGAGGTCCTGGAACTACATCTCAACTACCTATGTTGCTAAATAGGAATTGGATGTGATACCAACCTGTTCCCCTTTTAAGGTTTATACTGAATGAAAAACGAGTTTTAAGGCAATGTGAGCATGAAAAAAGAAGGTCCATAAGCCAGAACATTTCAACATTGAACTTCCTGAAATCTGAACTATGTTGTGACCGAGGCTACACACATAAGCTATGGGGCTGTGTCAGAGTTGTACATAGACTTGATCTGGTATTTTGGATTTATGGGGCAGGTAAGCTGGCTTTCTTTCAACCTTAATATTTCTTCTCCCTTTCTTTCTCTTTTTAAGGTAAATGTTTCTCGACCTATAATGTAAACAGAGAGAAGTGTAGAAATCATAAGAGCACAGTCTTACAGCTGCTAGTGCATTTCCGCACATTTCATGAGGCCGTGTATGGCTGTGTGCTGTTGATTAAAAAAAAATCTCGGGTGTTAGAAGTCAGGACAGTGGTTGCTCTTGCAGGGAGTGGGCTAGGAAAGGGCACAAGGGCCTCTGGATACTGGAATGTTCTAGACCTGGATGGGGGTTACACAGATGTGTCAATGCTGTGTTCATGTAAATTTTTTATTGATTGATTGATTTTAATGAGAGGGGGGAGAAAGGGAGGGAGGGAGGGGGAGAGAGAGAAAGAGAGAGACAGACATCAATTTGTTGTTCCACTTATTTATGCATTCATTGGTTGATTCTTGTATGTGCCCTGACCAGGGATGGGACCCGCACCCTTGGTGTATGGGGATGATGTTCTAATAAACTCAGTTCCTGGCCAGGGCTGTTCATGTAAATTTTAAAGCACTCTAATTCTAGTGGATGAACAATATACTCCATCCTTCAAAACACAAAAAGAAGCGAGGAAAGAAAGGAGAAAGGAAGGGAGAGAGGGGGGAAAGAGAAGAGAGAAGGAAAAGGGAAGGAAGAAAAAAACTCTTCAACTCAGAACTGAAACAGATCCAAGGGCAATCACAAAGCGTGCATTGCCCCTCAGGGACTGGGTCATGGCTAGTTTGATGTGCAGGTGTCAGGGCCCAAAGAAAGGAAAAGCTTCCTTGTATTTTGTGAGTCAGCAGCCTCTCCAAGTCCCCCCCACCCCGCCGCACTCCCCCTCCCGTCCTGAAAATCTGGTGCAGTGCGCTTCCCTGCAAGGAGGGCCCCTGGGTGGGAAGGGGCCCAGGCAGCTGGGACCAGCAATTCCCTATTCCCGTTCTTGAAGTGACGCAACCTATTATCTACTACTATTTCATTTTGGACCGTCCTGTTTCTCAGACTTCGGATAATTAGTCTACATGTGAAAGCTCTGGTTTCCCCACGGAAACATTCAGTTGTTGTGGCTTCCTCATCCAGGCCGCTGGGCTGCACATGGTAAACCAGTTACTTTCTAAATGGGAGTAGGGTTCTCACACCCCACCTCCCACAAGAAAACCCCACTCACAAATGCAGGAAGAGCCGGCACACATCATATCTTATTTAACGCATCCCCTAACGAGTGGATCCTAAAAATTAATTTCTGACCAGGAGAGCAGTGTTTTTGACCTCCCACTCGAGGATACTTCTAAGAGCAACTCGGTACAGTTCACCTTTGTCATTTGTTTGTGTGACAAAAGCTACAAATCTAACTGGGCGTTCAAGGAAACCCTCGCAATAGACCACCACTTAATGGTACAAAATGATTATTATGGGAATGTAATGAGGTAATTTGCTTTACAGATGGCAGCATCCCCACCCGCGAGACGAAGATCTGAGCCAACAGCTCTCACATTCGGATGCAGAAGGGTTAGCCCCGGGGCTGTGACACCCCAGTCTCTGATTCGGAGGTCTAGCGCAGCCCGGGGATCTGCATTTCTAGCGAGTTCCCAGGACTACAGTTTGAAAACCCTTGGCTAATCTTGAACCACAATTTAGTGCCAAAGTAACCGAAAACGTCTGCTTACGGTCCTGAATGAAGTAGGGATCGGCTTCCGGAGCATACTGTTCACTGAAGTCCACCAAGGCGTCCCGGCCGTACGGCTGCCGGCGTCCTGTGACGGGGATGTTACACAGCTGGGCATAGTCATCTAAGAAAGAAACAACAGGGACGCCTTCAATGTCTGCTCGCACCTGATGCACCCACTGCCAGCTGAGAGCCCTGGGAATCTGCCAGGCACCGGCCACCCCAGGCCCGTCTCCCACACACACTGCTGGGCCAGGGAGTGTCTCAATGTTCTTCATGGGAGCCCTGCCCATCCCCATACACTGAGTGTCACCCACATACACTGAGTGTCACCCACATACACTGAGTGTCACCCACATACAATGAGTGTCATCCACATAAATGAGTGTCCTCCACATACAATGAGTGTCATCCACATACACTGAGTGTCCATCCACATACAATGAGTATCATCCACGTACACTGAGTGTCCATCCATATAAATTGAGTGTCATCCACATACAATGAGTATCATCCACATACAATGGGTGTCCGTCCACATACACTGAGTGTCATCCACATACAATGAGTGTCCATCCACATACACTGAGTGTCATCCACATACACTGTCATCCACATACAATGAGTGTCCATCCACATACACTGAGTGTCATCCGCATACATTGTCATCCACATACACTGAGTGTCCATCCACATACACTGAGTGTCATCCGCATACATTGTCATCCACATACACTGAGTGTCCATCCACATACAATGAGTGTCATCCACATACACTGAGTGTCCGTCCACATACAATGAGTGTCCGTCCACATACACTGAGTGTCCGTCCACATACATTGAGTGTCATCCACATACACTGAGTGTCTGTCCACATACACTGAGTTTCACCCACATACAATGAGTGTCATCCACATACAATGAGTGTCCATTCACATACAATGAGTGTCCATCGACATACACTGAGTGTCCATCCACATACAATGAACTCTAAATAAAAAATAATCGCTGAGCAGTTGGTAGAACGTATCCCAAGAGACTAAGGAACTGAGAAAAAGGGCCATCTGAGAGCAATGCAGGCCTGTCGGGAGAATGGCTTGATCTGAGCCCCTCAGGTAAACACTTGATAGGTATAAAGTGGTCATTCTTACAGACAGGCATTTTTTCACTCACGAGAGAGAGAAAATTTATCTCTGGTGATCCAGAAATTAGACTAGCAAGGAAGGATGCTATGAAGTACAATTTAAATTTAATAGCTATTATTATAATTCTACACTCAAGACATGATCCTTATGGATAGTATTAAATTAATGATGTCATTATCATCATCATCATCACCATAGTGTAGTAAAGGTAGCAGTAGTAATAATAGCTAACAGATGGATAATGCTTGCTCTGTGCCAGGAAGGGTTCTGAATACATATTAATTCACTAAACACTAATTCATTAATTCACTCACAACACCCTCTGAAGATGTACCATCATCATCCCCATTTCACAGATGAGGAAACAGAAGCACAGAGTGGTGAAGTGACAGCTAATATGTGGTGGTGCCAGACTGGAACTCAGTAATGATGCTCCAGCTGCACACTTACTCTGCCTCTCCCACAATGACCTCAGCTCCTCTGTAACTTGCCTTTACTCCTTCTGCACCCCGATAGACTCCTCTGTGGTTACTATTCCTGCGGCCACAGTTCCAAGCTGGGTCAGCCCTATGACCGCCTGCCTTCTAAACTCTCCTTTAGTTTTCCTCACAGGACCCACCCAGCGCACAAGATCTTGGATCCCCACTGGCTAGGGTGACTGAGCTTTAAGTGCATTTCATGCTCCTGTCTGCATTTAGGAGCAGAGTCGTGCAGGAGGGGTAGCGATGGAGGCTTCAGAGAGGATGGCTTCATGTTCTGAATGCATGTTTTACAGAAACCTGCTACCTGAGGATTCACCTAGCAGATGGTGAAAATTTTGGGGCTCCCTAGACTCCAACAGCACTGCCGGGGCTGTGAGATGCAGGCCAGCAGGCTCCAGGGCTAGATGGGCACTCTCCGGGCAGTCGCACAATGCAACAGCCACTTGCCTGGACCACAGGTGGGGAGAGCTGTCCTCTATTTTTTTGCCTCTGTAACAAAACTAAACAAATACACTAAGCAATAGTGTGAACGCTCAAGGCTGTCTTTCATCCCTAAACTTAAAGGAGTCAAAGGTGTGTGTGTGTGTGTGTGGTGTGCAAGCATAAGTACACACACACACACACACACACACACGTCTTCTATAATTGCACCAAGGAAGTGTAAGGCCAGAAAAGACCCCACACCGCTGGGGAGGGGAGGATTATGGTTGCCCCTTCCTAAAATTCTCCTCCTGCAGAGCATTCCAGGAACAACATACAGACCCCAGACAGCCTGATATTTTTGCATGAAAGCATTTCATGAGAAATATTAATTTCATTAAGGAAAGAGCTGATCCTGGAAGAAGATCCTTGACTCAACAAAACCCAACTTCAAACGAAGAGAACACACATGGCCATCAGTTCTGCTTCGAGTTTGAGAAAGAAGAATGAAGGATCTCCCCGCGAGAGCAAGATTGCTGAGATGTTTACAAGTTTCAAGAGCTGAGGTCATTGTCTCTCAAGACTTTCTCTATACATTTGTTGGACATCTGAAAGGGAGACTTGTTCCATATTTCATATCCAAGCAACAGTTGTGGACAATAATAGATGTTATAAGTAAATTAATCCATGTTCTTATTTTGTAAAACTAAATCCAGACACAGCTGAGCAAGCTCTTCTGACATGTGGCTCTCAGGGGAGCTCCACTGAGACTTGAGGTCCTGGGGCTGTGGACTGACAGAGCCAGGGCCGTCCCAGAGCTGTCTGAGCTTCCTGCCATGGCCTTGGCCAAGACCATGCCTCCTCCACTAACACATGAGCTGGTGGCCACCCTCCAGGCTGTCACCGTCTAGCAAAAGGAAGGGACTGAATGTGAGAGGAGTGACGAGGAGGAACAGATTTCTGTTCTGGTGAAGTGCTGATGGGCAGCTTCCTGGAAATGCTGGTACTTGACCTGAAACTAAATAGAATTTGCTTTACAGGAGAAGATATTTTGGATTGATTTTAAAATGAGATAACCCAAAAGCATCAAGAAAGGGAACTGTAAGCTGGGTTTGGGGGCCCACAAGTGGCTCATAGGAAGACTTCTAACTCAACAGGAGCTGGTGAAGGTGGCAGAGGAGAGATGGGGATGGGACCTCTGGGATTTGAGGCATCTTCTTTGCCCTCCCCTCTTCCCAGCCATGCATTTATCTTTTAAGATTCTAGAACTGACTGTCCCTTGCTGCTTTACTTTGTCTAACATATTAACATTCCAAACTTCAAGACAGTTTTGGTCAGTTATCAAAACATGATTTCTGCATTAAATGTTCTCTCTGTTGTATCTGGAGACGTGCTTGTTTGAGGGGACTGAGCTTTCAGTGCATTTCCAGGACATGCATGCTGAGTAATTTTTTTTCTGGGAGCATGGATGAGTCCATACCAACCCACCCATGTCACCTCTCCAGGCACGCACTTCTGTTCTCATCTTGGCCAGGGTCAAGGGTGAAGTGAGGATGGGGTAATGGAAAGAATGTGGGCTTTAGAGGCACAAGCTTGAGTTCAAGTCCTGATTATACCATTTATCATTTAGCTCAGCAATTTTGGGCAAGCCTCAGTTTCCCCATCTGTCACATGTAGATAATAATCCCTGTTTGTCTACCTGTGTTACTGACATTATGGAATTGTTTATAAATTTTGGAGCACCAAGAAATTGGAGGGTGCCATTTTTTTTTCTCATAGGTAAAATCACCAAGTCCCTACTTAAACAACAGGAAGTAAATGAGGATTTTCAAAGACAGCATCCGAATGATTGATGCAAACTTCAGTGCTAGTAAAACTTAATGGTAGTTGTCATTGGGCAAAGGATTGCGCGGTAAATAAAGAGCAATGAAAGCACAGTTTCTGGATGTCTTTAGATATTGTTGTAAGGCTATTTGGAATTTCCTAACAGATGGAGGAAAATTTTAATTCAGTAAATAGAGAATAAAGCCTTCATCTCAGGCATAAGGCTTACTTGTCGACAGCCTAGCAAATATAATCACGTGATCGAACAGTGATAAAGTATGAACAAGGGCACGCTTGAACACTAGATACACAGAACTCAAAGGGCAGGGGGGAAACTGGTGTTCAACAATTCTTAGTGATGCCTGAATCGATCAGGGGAACAACTACCACAGGACTTTCTAATGAGTCTCGGGCATGGCACCAGCTTCAGGATCTGGGCGCATGCGTATTTCTAGCACGTCTGAGCCTCTGAGCAAACCCCCAGCCACGACCAGAGCCCGTCCCAGCTTGGAGATGTTTGGTCTGGTTATCTCTAGGGCTGGTCAGGGCTGCAGGACAGCTTGGGGACACAGTGAATTGTGGCTGGTTGGGGAGACCGAGCCCGGGATAGCAGACACTTGAACTATATGCACAACTTCCCATGACAGCTCATGAGAACCTCATGGCTGTCACTTCGTCCAGCTTAACGTATGTACACGAACATATATCCCATCCCTAGAGTCTTTTATTTTTCCTCCAAAAATTCTTCCCTTTACTTACGCCATCAACAATGAAGCAACTACTCACCCAGGGCCTGGTGCAAACGAATAGCTTTGCTTAGCAGGCAGGGCTTGTACTCTGTGGGAGGCAAACACTACTTATGATACACCACACAGTGTGTGCATCCGGGATCTAGCCAAATGAGAGTGTAAAACGAACAGGAAATGGAAATATTCACACCTCCAAGACCCTGCCCCACTGCTGTCCCTACCCCGCCCCCCCCAAGCACAAATGCTAAGCTCTTGATCAAAGCTATGAAAGACACACATGGCATGGTGTTGGACACGTCACTAAGTGGTCTAAACAAGACCCAGGCCATTGATCACACTCATTTCCCCGGCCTGGCAGTTTCTTAGAACAGATGGTGCTTTGATTTTAATTTTAAATTGAAAGAAAAGAGTTTAAAAATTACCCCCTGGAACCAGTGGGTCTGGGGCCCCTGCGGTTGGCGGCAATGGGAAGCACATTACTAGATCCTGGCAGGGAAGCTGCAC